AAATAATGAAATGAGCTATTAATTTTACTATTAAAAAAAGAATTATACTAAACATAATGTTTCACGTCTATCATGACGATCCTCAGTAGCTACAATTCTTTTTCATACATGTATAAAAGCGAAGAGCTTTATTATATATGATATATCAGCGCCCAAAGATTGGTATAGACAAGGCATGTTAAACAAAAGTAGAAATTAGAAAATACAAAAAAATCTGCATTTAATAAGTGAAAAATAGTTTTAAAGTTTAGACTCACTGCAAGACTTTGAACCAGGACCTTTTTACCGTGTAGGGTCAAGAGAAAAACATCAACGACTGAGTAAGAAGAAACATGAACACAATGCCACAAAAAAGACAAAAAAGAGTCACAGTGATCCAAATGTTAAAAATGCTCATACAAAAATTGATGAGATAATTGCCAATTACTACTTTAAACAAAAGCTCAAAATAAGTGGAACAAAGGTACAAAATCATGCAATTGTTGCAACTAGTATATCTATAAAAATATTTAATTAGCTATTTTAGAATTAGTTTATCAGGAAATTATAAAATCCTCAGTGATATTTCTTAATAGAAAGAAAATAAAAGACAACAAGAATTCCGCTATTTTCAGGTTCTCATTGTACCTGCAAGTATAATTTCCAGCATGGTGAGGCATTAGCTTGTTGAAGAGAAGAACAGTTCCTTCACCTCCCTCCAGGAGTTCAAGCTCAAGCTGCTCATCAGATACAATCTAGATAACAGCTTGTTAAAGGTAAGAACACCCCCCTCCCTTCCTCCAGGAGTTCATGCTCAAGCTGCTCATCAGATACAATCTAGATAACAGCTTGTTAAAGGTAAGAACACCCCCCTCCCTCCCTCCAGGAGTTCAAGCTCAAGCTGCTCATCAGATACAATCTAGATAACAGCTTGTTAAAGGTAAGAACACCCCCCTCCCCTCCCTCCAGGAGTTCATGCCCAAGCTGCTCATCAGATACAATCTAGATAACAGCTTGTTAAAGGTAAGAACACCCCCCTCCCCTCCCTCCAGGAGTTCAAGCTCAAGCTGCTCATCAAATAGAATCTAGACAACAGCTTGTTAAAGGTAAGAACACCCCCTCCCCTTCCTCCAGGAGTTCAAGCTCAAGCTGCTCATCAGATACAATCTAGACAACAGCTTGTTAAAGGAAAGAACATAAATTTGACATGGTGTAAGCAAAGCAAATATTAAGAATAAATGTGAAAAAAGACATGCTTGCATAGTTTAAATCTTAACATGGTACTCTTTTTTTCTAAAGATTATAGACAAACTTTTTTCTGATTTTATTTTATACTATGGTTAAAGAGGAACTCCATACTACACAACAGTACTCAAGAATACCAATTGAGGAGCGTGAATGCCGCAAAACACGTTTGGGTGGCGGTGATTACCAATTGAGGACGTCTTGACTCACCCCCCCCCCTGACACGATCAATAAATTGTGTTTCAAATTTACATTCACAAATGTACATTCCTTTTCACAATTTTTTCATTTAAATTTTTTTATATTAAACTGCATGTTCAAATTTTTTACCTTCTAGCTTTTTCAGTATTTAAAGCCCAGCCATGGAAGACAAAATAAATTCCACAAATCTTAATATTGTTCAAATCCTATTCTTATTTTCAATTTTTCCCCCAAGATACTTAAAAGTTAAGCTATTACCTTTGTATCAACAATAAATAGCTGATCAGGGGCAGAGTTGTTAGATTCTCGTGTCCAGATCATCTAGGGTTAAACATTATTTTAATTTAAAGATTTTTTTGTCAGACCATTTAGGGTTAAAACAAGATTTTGATTAAAGGAGTCACTTTTCCAGATCATCAAGTGTTAAACATTATTTTAATTAAAGAATTTCTTTTCCAGATTATCTAGGGTTAAACATTATCTTGATTAAAGGAATTTCATTTCCAGATCATCCAGGGTTAAACATTATTTCAATTTAAAGATTTTTCATTCCAGTGTCCGAATTTAATGAACTTGAGCCGCGGCTAAAATCTGCCATAAACCGGTTTCAATTGAGCACCGACTTAAATCTTGAAAAATTAAAAAAAATTTTAAGTGGAACCAACCATAATTGAGCCTCGGCTTGAATTTAAGCCGCGGCTTAAATTCTTTAAATTCGGCCTCTGATCATCTACGGTTTTTAAAGATTTATTTCAGATCATCAGGGTTAAACATTATTTTGATTGAAGAATTTACTTTTCCATCTAGTTTTAAATATTATTTTTTGATCCGTTGCTCCAAATTATGGGTTAAATATTAAACATTTTATTGAAATGTTTATCTGATAGACGTCAGAAGATTTCAAAATACCGCAAATTCTAAAGATTGCTTTGTAATCAAAATACAAAAGATATAAGAATAGTTTAGAAAATGAATTTAAATGACCTCTGAATCCTGCAAAATAAGCGCTCCAAATTCAGACTTTTCTTTTTAATTTATCATCATCAAATATTACTTTACAATGGATTTAAAGCTTAATCTTGAGTTTCCCTTAGTCTCAGATTATACGTTAATTTACAGTTAGACCCAACTTCTTGAGTTTTTTCCTAGTGAGTAGTGATTTACTGGTTTCTAAATTGACTTGAAACTATGACGGCTTAGTCTTCAGACTTATTTTGATCAAATTATTGTAGGAGATTGTGGTCATAATTTCAAGTTACCCTCCATTTAAAGTGGCGTGTTCGCTTAACAAAAGTACCCTTGAAAAGTAAAGTGACTTGCGGATTCTTTCTAAGAAACAATTAGAAAAAATTTGTCAGAATTAAAACACTTTTCAAGCTATAAAAAAGAAGAAGATGTTTTTTAAAATTTTTGATCAGTTTAAAGAGTACTGGTGATTCGGGCACGGCCCTTTTTAAATGAGTAGCATCCCTTTAAATTTCGACTGCAGTCCCTTTAATACTTACATCTCTACCACCCAGATGGTTGACTTGACAAGGTAGGCTGAGAGGTAAACCAAGCTGTCCATAAATCAATCCTCCCTAGACACAAATAAGTATATAGGCAGGCTAAGAGGTAAACCAACTTGTCCATAAATCAATCCTCCCTAGACACAAATATATATATAGGCCTGGCTGAGAGGCAAACCAAGCTGTCCATAAATCAACCCTCCCTAGACACAAAAATTATGGGCAAGCTAAGAGGTAAACCAAGCTGTCCATAAATCAACCCTCCCTAGATACAAATATATATATAGGCCTGGCTGACAGGTAAACCAAGCTGTCCATAAATCAATCCTCCATAGACACAAATAATTAAATAGGCAGGCTGAGACGTAAACCAAGCTGTCCATAAATCAATCCTCCCTAGACACAAATATTTAAATAGGCAGGCTGAGACGTAAACCAAGCTGTCCATAAATCAATCCTCCCTAGACACAAATATATATATATGGACAGTCTGAGAGGTAAACCAAGCTGTCCATAAATCAATCCTCCCTAGACACAAATATATATTTTTAGGCAGGCTGAGGGGTAAACCAAGCTGTCCATAAATCAATCCTCCCTAGAAATAAATATATATATATGGACAGTCTGAGAGGTAAACCAAGCTGTCCATAAATCAATCCTCCCTAGACACAAATATATATTTTTAGGCAGGCTGAGGGGTAAACCAAGCTGTCCATAAATCAATCCTCCCTAGAAATAAATATATATATAGGCAGGCTGAGAGGTAAACCAAGCTGTCCATAAATCAACCCTCCCTAGACATAAATATGTATATTGGCAGGCTGAGAGGTAAACCAAGCTGTCCATAAATCAACCCTCCCTAGACACAAATATGTATATTGGCAGGCTGAGAGGTAAACCAAGCTGTGCATAAATCAATCCTCCCTAGATACAAATATATTAAGGCAGGCTATAAAGAGGTAAACCAAGCTGTTGAAAAAATCAGTCCTCCCTATGAAAAATATAATTGGTTTTCGGTCCCATCCTCTCGTGATTTAAATTTTCCTTTTTTTCCTCGTAAAGAAACTGATGGCTCGCCGTAATTTCTGATTTTTAAATTCTTATATCTATGTCAGAGAATTTAGACTTTTCAAACTATGAATTCTGAAAGATAAAATAGTAAAAGTTTGAAATGGGAAGGGGCCTTAATTAGAGAAATATAGATAATTACTGACGTCTGATTAACCTAATATATTTTTTATTTCGCCGCACCTATTATGAGAAACTTTTGAGATGATTTTATTTTGATATACGCATAGAGAACTGTTCTTAAGTTTATAATTAGGGTTGTTTATTGTTTTGGTCCAGTCTGCAACATTTTAAAACCGTATTCTGTAAAGTTTGCTTTAATTAAACTTTGAAATATTGAAAAATTTGACATGGTGTAAGCAAAGCAAATATTAAGAATAAATGTGAAAAAAGACATGCTTGCATAGTTTAAATCTTAACATGGTACTCTTTTTTTTCTAAAGATTTTAGACAAACTTTTTTCTGATTTTATTTTATAAAATACAAATTTAAAAATATTTATAAAATGAACTTGTACCTTCGTCACAAAGTTTGGTTTATCATCTGAGTTGACCAGCTTAACCTCCTAAAATCAGCAAAAATCAATATTTAAAAAATATATTAATTCAATTTTGTATTTGACCTCTTCTGAAGAAATATCTGTACCCCCAAGTTCATAATCAGGTACATAGTCATCATCCTTCAAATAAATGGGTCCGTCCTAGAGAACGATTTTTGGAACACCCCCCCTCCCCTTCTATCAATTTTGTTCATGAGCACTTTTTCAACAATTTTCAATTAAATTAGTATTTATTTAGGGTTAGGTTAGGTTCAGACACTTTCTGGGCCGAGCGCTGCGGCTAGGACAGGCTAGGGGGCCACATGTCTTACATTTAAGATCCAAAAACCGTTCTCTAGGAAATTACCAAATAAATTAGGTTAAAATTTAAAAAATATAAAAATAGATTATTAAATGCCCGATTCACAACCTTTATCTGATCAATAATGTGGAAGTTTTATTTTCTCTATTTTCTCAGTGTTTCCGGAGAAAGAAATCTGCAAGTCTCTTGATCACAGAAACCACGTTGAAAATTATCAATGTTTAATGAGAAATCATCAATATCTCATGACACTCCATACTGGAGGGTAACTTGAAATTACAGTTCCTTTAGGAGACAAAATTAAACTCGTCTTTGATTCAACATTTAATAGTCAATGAATGACAAAATTTGATACGTCTACCGTCTTTACATTTTAAACTCAAGAAGATATGATCAATTAAAACAGTTTTGAGTTTTATAGTTGATCGCAATCAATCTTAAAAGGTACTACACAAGGCATGAAGTATGAATTAGATGTTTATACTTTTAAAACAGAATATTTTCAATAGTTTTCTAAAAAATTATTTGCGCATTTCTAATACAAATATTAATATCAGAATTAAACACTCTTAAACCTGGAAAAAGGACAATATCTTTCATATTATTGATCAGATAAAAATGTTAAGGGTACCGTTGTGAATTACACGTGCAGCCCCTCTATTAATATTTACCTTATCTGTTGCAAGTATGAGAGGAATGTAAAAAATGTAGAAAACCATGGAAACCAAGTTCATTTTGTTCAAAGTTTTTCAAATCTAGAATTAAAAACTATAAAGTTAAACAGAGGAAACGAAAATAATAATAAATAATAGTAATAAAAAAGCATAAAGATAAAGTAAGATAAATAGAAATCTTGAAACAAATTTATTTTTTGTTGATTTTTATCTAACAGCTTCTAATTTTTGTTAAATTTTTTAGATTTGATAAGGTTTTGTCAAGGATAGATTTTTTTTACTTTTAAGACTTTTTAAACGACGAAGAAAAAACGAAACGGTCGTTTTTCAAGATAATCGTTATTAAAAAAGATCGTTTTTTTAATAAAAACGAAGAAGTCGGTTTTTTGTTTACTTCGTTGTCTAATTCGTTAACGAAGGTAGGTCGTTTTAAAACTTTTTGAAGATCGTTGACGACGACCCTTGGCTAACGATTGTTAGCGACCTTTTTTAGACAAAATACTTTTTTTGGTCGGAAAACCCCTAGATCATAAAACCCTTATATTGTCTCTAAATTTGATTAGATTTCTATCTATTTGCATTCTTTGGGTTTAGACAAATTTTGTAATGGCAATGTTGTATTCAAATACTTAAGTTAAAAATCCCCCCCTCCACCGTTGACATGCATGCGTTCCAAAAGGTGGCTTATGTATCTCATCAATTGTCCGGCAAAAATGTTTACACTGAAAAAAATCATTCTTCTTTCTGGCAAACATCAAATATATTTGCAAACATGAAATGCATTTTTTCAAACAGAAAAAGTAATCTGAAACAGCAATTTTGCAAAAATTTCATTTCTGAGAAAGAGTTGAATGTATTTAAAACCTAAAAGTGCTGACCCCATTTAGGGTAAAATATCAAAACATCTTTTCATTTAATTTAAAAAAATTGATAATTTTAATTAAAAGCTTCAATTTCAAGGGGGAAAGTAATTGGACGCCTAGCATAAGTTTTGCCCCCCCCCCCCCTCTACCGCAAAATATAATACAGGCATTTTCACTGCATGAGGTTAAAGCATTATGTACCCCCCTCATGTATGATGTATCTGCATCTTGTTTTATTTCACACGGGATTTAGGGGATAAAAATGTATAGAGCTAGGTAAAGAAGGCAGGGGGGGGGAGTTTGAAATCCATAGGATAGTGTTGCAATTTTACATTTTAGCCTTAACATGTGGAAATTTTTAAACCACAACGTTTTATCTTAAAAGAAGCGAGACAATTAGGGTTTCCAGCGAACGAAACGTTTCACGAAAAACTGCAAAAATTTTAGGTCGCGTTTTGCTTCATTTATTTTTGTGAATATGCAAAACTTTTGTGAAAACCTTAAGTTTTATAGCTGCAAAAATTAATTGCTTTGAAGAACTTGTGGAATTCACTGCTTTGATAGCTCAATATTTGAAGAATATCTATCTTTTTAAGTTTCCGAATTATTTTGGTTCTTTCCGTAGTAGATTTTATTTTGTGTCTTAAGAAGAAAGATCTTAACGGTCGAGAAAGTGTTTTCAAGCAAATCTATGAATTGGCTGATGTCTCCTGATCGTTCTTAAATCTATATTTATAGTTTGTGTTAATCCATCAATTGGGCTCGTGGATAAATCCCTCTTTGAAAATTCTCAAAATTTAGTCTATTTTGATGAATTTTCGCAATTTTTTTCGCTCAAATTTTGCATTTGTTTTTAAAAATTCTGTATTTTTCGCGTAATTTTCTTTTTTTGCATAATTTCCATTTTTTTGAGAAATTTTAGCATTATTTTTTTTTTTAATTTTCACATTATTTTTTCGCGAAACAGATTGAAGCGAAATTTCACGAAAAAATGCAAAAATTTTCTCAATCCGCGAGCGAACGAAATGCGAAAATGAAGCGAAATGGTCGCGAATTTTTTTTTGCGAAACAATTTTCCTTTTCACTAGAAACCCGGTATATTCCTAGAGAACGATTTTTGGCTAAATAAAACAAACAATTTAAAAATATTACTAAAGTGTTTAATTACCATCTCGTATGTGATAATCCTTCCCAAAATCCTACCTTCTAGTTCACATTTTTGTTATCCTTCTTCCCATCTTTCTACATTATAATTTTCCTTTTTTTCCACAATTCCACCTTCTAATAATCCTTCCTTCCCATAATCCCACCTTCTATTTACACCCTCTTCCCATAATCATACCTTCTAATTGTCCTTTCTTCCCATAATCATAACTTCTAATTATCCCCTAGCTTCCCATAATCCTACGCTCTAATTATCCTCTCTTCTCATAATCCTTACCTTCTAATTATCCCTTTTCCCATAATCCTACGTTCTAATTATCCTCTCTTCCCATAATCCTACCCTCTAATTATCCTCTCTTCCCATGATTCTACCTTCTGATTATCCTCTCTTCTCATAATTATACCTTCTAATTATCCTCTCTTCCCATTATGCTACCTTCTAATTAATTCCTTTAATAATCTCACCTATTCTATTCTATTTAATTCTTCCCATAGGTCTATTCCCATAATCCCTATATCCTCCCTCTACCGAACATCCCCTATATCCTCCCCCCCCCCCTTCCTTCATACCCCCTGTCAAAGAGTTATCCTTTAATTCACTATGACTCACGAAACTCCTTAGGATTCAAGAACTCCTGAACTTCTGAAGCTATTTCTTTGAAATGTTGGGCCCTGAACCTTCTTGTGTAGAGAATAATGGACCCTGGACCTTCTCGTGTAGATATGTCCCTGAATCTTCCTCCTGTAGATATATTATGGCCCCTGGATCTTTTCATGTAGATTTATTATGGTTTCCTTCTTGTTTATTTATATATTTTGGGCCCTGGACCTTCTTATGTAGATCATAATGGGCCTTGGACCTAATTGTGTAGATCTGCTCATGGTCCCTGGATCTTCTTGTATAGATATATTTTGGACCTTGAACCATATTGTGTGCATATAATACAATAATAAT